GCCGCCGTCAGCCGCCGTCAGCCCTCATGCCGCGGTCCCCAGTAGCCCGAGCCCTGCGGGTTGATTACACCCCGCGTAGGCGAATGGCCTGTGCCGAGGCCGGCGTGGCGTCGGGGCGCTGCCCCGAGGCGAGCTGCAGGGGCCCTGGGGGTGCTGCCTGAGCAGGAGCGGGAGCTGGAGCGGGGGCAGCTTGCCCTCCTTCGAAAAAATTAGGTAGATGGGTGGCGGCTAAACCCCGAAAGTTGAGGAGGCTTAAACTTAGGCGGTTGGGTTGGTTGGGTTTTTTTTTTTTTGGTGACAGTGCAAAGGAAATCACGGCGTCCCTCTTGACTGTGCCTATCTAAACTGCAAATCTGCCAGCTACATCTTTCCTTGTCCCCCACCCCCCTGTATTTTGGAGGTAGGGAGAAGCAGGAGCAGTTTTTAAAAAAGCTGAAAGCAAATGTGCTTTGCTGTGCATTTGCTGGCAAGGAAGGAGGGATGACAGGAAAGGTCAGCGTTGTGTGCAGGATGTGCAGAGCTCTGGCTGGAGCGCTCACAGCTAGTACACGCTGCCTTGCGCTACACAAGGCCCAGCACCTGGATGCAACATTCCCCCAAATTACCATGCTCCCCAGCACGTGTCCTCTTCATTCTGCCAGGTTTCTCAGGCTGAGGTACTAGCAAAATGGGACAGGTGAAATGAGGGTGTACTCTTTGAGGTGGTTTCATAATAATTACATTTTCATTTACATGAAGCCTTTCAACTAAGACTCCTTTTCTAAGTTGATTCTTTTACATTTTGCAATTGGATGGGCTGGAAGATAACCAAGACGTGCGCAGTATGACAGTGAAGAAGCAATGAACCCAGGTTTCCCCATTTCAAGACCTGGAATAGCTGCTTTTAGCCTCCCACTTGTTTTATTTAAAAGTTCCTTACACAGAGTTGCTGCAGATTTCGTGGAGTTGCCCCATCTTCTTGCAAAGCACGTCTAGTAGGGAGGGAAATAGAAACAAGGACAGGCTAAAGGTAGTAAAAGAGCTGCAGTTAAGAGATAGAAGCAGTCCTGCAGCCACCTCTAAGCAGCTAACAGAAAGCAATAGAAATATTCTGTTCCCGCATTATATTTTTCATAAATCTATCCTTTCTGCAGTGCTATAATTAAGCTTGTGTCAGCACTTCTATTACATCCACCTTTCCAGCCTCTCTATTTTTGTTATGAATCATCTCTGCCTGCATGCACCACTCGCTTTTACAGGACCAAAAGCCAGGTCAGTGAAAGGCGCAGTGACGTTTGTGCCTTTTTGGCCTGCAGACTACACACCTGACTTCTCCCATCCAGGCATGTATATGTCTTCTTCTGACTATCGGGAAGTTACTTGGCATTAAGCATTCACTGCCTGTGAGTAGAGGTCTGGGCACCCAGGTTCCCAGCAGCCACATCCTGGAGCTGGTCCCCATCCTTAGCCCTGTGAAGCACTGAGGCCAGGCAGCCTCCAAAGATGTTTTCAGAGCTTGTATAGACACAGACTTCTCTGACTGATTTGCAGGAATGGGCAGGTAGAGTGTAGCTGGGCCTCAGCGTGAGCAATTGCAGTTGGCTATCAGCTGCCATGGGAAGATAAGGAATGTTTGCCCATGTGTGCTTTTAATCTTCCCATCTCGCACTAGGAGGAACAGCAGAGACTCAGGTTTGAGGAACTGTTGGTCACAACCGTCCCTTAGAAGGGAGTGGTGTCACTTTTTGTGTGCACCCCCACCCATTTTTCTTTGTTGAACACCTCCTGCGGTGATTTCAGTGCTAGTCAAAGTCCCACTGAAAGGGAGTTGTTTATTGCTGCTGCAGGCTTCCCTCCAGTGGAGACCTGCCACTGCTGACCCTTGCTCCAGTGTATGTGCTAAATTAACTCCCATCCCCTTCCTTTAGGTCTTCTCTCCCAAGAGAGCAAGTGCTTTGAAGAGTAATCCCGTCAACCTGTCACCCTGAGTCCCGGAAACTTGCTGTTACTATGGTTACTGTGCCCAATTCAACTGGTGGCTCTGGCACTCACATTACAGCCAGGCAAAAACATCAATGCCCCCCCACACCACCCCCGCATCCCCCCCTGCAATCGCCCATGTATATCAAGCTGCAGCATCAGCTCTGCAAGCAAGAAGTTGTTGCTCCAAATCTTGTATTTTTTTTTACTGACTTCTGGCTGAAGGGGTCGATTGTTGGTGCCACTGACACAGTTAAAAACTAGTTATCACGGCTCAAATGAAGTCGCTTGAGAAGTGAATGGAGGGACAGAAGAGTTTTTTAGGCTTCTTACATGGTCTGTTAGCAGTACTATGACTGTAAATGTGTTTTCTCAGGAGCTGAATACTGAAATTCATGTCTGCGCATCTCTGAGGTCCAGATATCCAGTTCAGAATTTAGGCTTGGGTGCTCTTAAAGCATGCTGGCCCTGAGTTCTGCCGTGCAGATGCTGTGCACCTTTGTGCTGGAGCAGCCACTGCAGCAGCAGAACCTAAACATTAGGTGTTCACGCTCGTGTACATCTCTAGTGATCACCAGGTTATCAAGACATTTCTCTTCAAGCCGGCCAAGAACGGGGATAATTTTCACATCAAAGTCCTTACTGCAGGCAGAATGCCTCAGCTGCAATGCTTCTGCTGCAGCATAGGTTTCAGCTCTCATTTTTTGGAAGAAGTGTATAGCTATAAATAAGCAAGAGTAGCACTGTCAGCGTATTAACAGCAGCAGTACAGATAGATTTCTGTTCTGGATGGCTCTGAACAGTGCAGGTAGTCTTTTCATTTACCTGATTAGGCTTCAGCTCATCTCCAAAACCAGACCTGGGCTATAACTGTGTAAAAGACTGATCTGTGAACGCACATTCAGGCTGCTAACAGGCAAAGATACCTCATATTCGGTCAGCCCTTGGATTGAGGGGGAAATGGGCAGATTGACTATTCTGTCACCTGGTTTCCTTTCCAACCAATTCAACCCTTTTTCTCTTTTTGTGCAAGCCTCCCTCTTAGCCAAGGTTCTTACAGATAGCAGTTTCTTCCACTAGACATTCCTTCTTCCATTCCCAGAGCACAGACTGTCCTGTTCACTGAAGGAGGACAAGACCCTACAGGAGGATTGAGACCAGGTCCTGTTAATTAACAGCTGTCTCATAATAGATGCAAAAGGAGGCTGACTTGGAGTGGCATAGTGTAGAAAATTCTGGTTTGATTTGCAGCCACCTTTGCTCTTAGTTACAGAAAAATGATGTAATGTCCACGTATGTAAGAGTGTAACTTGTGTGTAAAACCACACAGTAACATGTTATTGGCAGGACAGCCTCTATCAATATTGCCAAATGCCAGAGGGAACAATGGCCACAGACGTGTGTAACCTACAGACACCAGCATGCCAGTGACAATTTTCACCATAGATGGGCACTTTATTTATTCCTGTGTTCATTCCTCAGTATCACAGAACTGTTTGCACCAGATATCACAGAGTAAAACCATCTTTTGCTTTTTGCTGATCTTTTTCCAACCAAGCTCTCTGTAGTTTGCCAAAATAGTTTTCTTCTGTTCCTACAGTACTTTTCTAATAATTGGACCGAGGAATAATCATACAGAAATTTGCTCTGGATTCCTGCTGTCAAAATCCTCACAGTCCATCAAGGAACAGCCTGACTAGCCATTTTCCTGTTCAATTTTGCTTCAGTGTTCTAAAAGCAGTGTTCAAACCATGCTTTTTTCTGTTATGCAGTGAAGTCCCTGCTCTGAAGAGTTTACAGTCTAAGACCCACTTTGAGTTTTCTTTGCCAGTAAGATTCAGCTTTGAGAAAAATGTGTGTGTGCTATTCATTCTTGGTAGGAAGCATAGGATAGAAAACAACTCCTAAACCTTCTGTTCTACCATGCAAAGTTATTTTAAAGTATGCTCTTTTAAAGGGAAAACCTGACTTTTTGGCGAACAGAAGCAATCATTTTTCCCAACAAGTTTCCTAGAACTAAATTTCACCATGCAAAAACAAAAATGAAATTTGAGCATGCCCTGTAGCTGTTGGTAAGTACAGTTTGGAATAAAGCAAATCAAAGTAATAGTTTATTGCTTTTGAAGGTAATAGCTACTAAAGCTTTGATGATCATCACACAGACAAGTTAAATGAAAATGGTGGATGCTACCTATCTGACATGGTGAGCACTGACTCTCAGAAAAGTATCTCTTTATTTTCTCTCAGATGATAACCTGTATTCACCTCACACCTTTCTGCCATAGCATTTACTAGACACCTGCTGTTCCACAGAGATCAGCCACATGAGCAAAAGTTAGACCTGGGGAAACAACCACTACATAAGACATCCCCAATCGCAGCGTAATGAACTGTGAGGGGATGTTTAGCATGTGTGACAAGAGTGAGAAAGTGCCAGGGATTTTTAATTGCCACAAGGCAGTCAGGATTTTAGCTGAGGTTTCATCATGGAGATCCTGGCAAAGTAACCTGATTTGCTTACTTTAGATAAAATAAAGACTAAGCTTGACTGGTTTGAATGTGAAACCCTTTTCCAGGCAGGCAGAGTATCTGGACATTGGAGGATATCAAAATCAAATCCTATCATCAGTTGTCTCTTCCATTACGTTATGGAATACCAGGATAAAAGTAACCAACAGAAATGCCACTCTGATTTTGCCAGAACAAAGTTAGATACTGAACCTACTTTTTGTTGAGGAAACTTTTATTTCCTACATAATCTACATGCGTATCAGTATCTGACCTGAGAGTTTTTGACTCCAAACAGAGGGGTCATGAATCATCTAATTTTGAGATTCAAGCCAATTTTGAAGTGCCACAAAAACACAGTAGCAAAATAGCAATGACCTGCTTTGACACTGAGAGTATTTTCCTGTGAGATGCCTTATATCAGCCTTGCTCACAGTGCTTAAAAATTGCAGCATTCCTACAGTTTTCAGAA